AACATTAAATTAAAACTCATTTTTTCTTTCTTCACATAGATTACACATTCTCCAATAAAATAATATTTCACACAAATCTAAAAACTTTTCTTTCTTTTTAACCACACATTCTTTCAAAAATTTACTATTTATCTCATTATAACATAGAATAATGAAGCCTAAACACGATTTTAACAACAATGCCCCTAAGGGTTTAAAGAACACAAGTGGTCAAAGTGTGGCAACATGATGCTAGGTATATTGGTACTTTAACAAATATTATGCGCACATTACTTTTTAATCAACCGATGGTATGTGGGTTGGTAATTATATTGAGATAAACATTTGTTGACGATTTAGATGGAATTGCATAGAATGGTATTGTTGATGATCAATGACACACTTTCTTTGGCTATTATTAGCTACAATATCATCAAAGATGTTATCGGAAATGACTGATCGACAAGAAGCTTTCTTTGCTCGTCAACAATATGACGGTTGATAATTCTGATTGAAATCAATATATGTTGGTAAGTCGGACAAAATTACTATTAGTGATACCTTTGACAATCAACGTCGCACAATCTTCAGCAATTATCGATGTTAATATCGTCGGTCATACTATGAGGTGCTATCAAGAATCATCAACAATATTTCAATCACCAACATAAAGTCGTCGGTGTCACTCAATTTTTTTGTTCTTTCTATATTTTTCATTTTAAAATATACTTTTATTTTTTTTCTTATTTTACTTGGCATATAAGTTATTTCTTAACTTTTATTTCGTTCTCAACAAAATTTTCATTAGTGTTTAATTTTTTTTTAACTTTTATTAATTTATTTATTGGCGAAATCACTTTTGGTAAATTAAATTTGTTAAAATATATATTTTTAACATTACTAAATCGTTCATTATTTATTTTTATTAATTTTGTTGATTCTTACACAATTTTTAATTAAAAATGGTAAAAATATGTGATTTTAAAATTAGGAGCCTTAAGCGACCGTATAACTCATCTAATGCTTAAATCGTCTTTGTGTGCAATACAAATTTTGCATTGTTTCATATCCTCTTTTCCATCTTCATTTACTTCTATCGTTTCGTACTTTGTTTCTACACTTGCCTTGTGATGGCTTCTGGTTCATGGGAAGCTTTTGGTTGTGCCTAATATCTTAGTTGGCCCAACAAAGTCCATTTTTACTTAATAGGTTAGAACACTCATCCATATAAAATGACTAAGTCGAGGATGCAATATAATATAATTGAAAATATATTCTAATTTCTTTTAATAAGTAGTACAGTACGACCGAGTCTAACCATATTCATGTCAATAATGGCTCAAATAAATTTATTTCTCGATTGTCATTTTCATGTTCAATAGATTATTGAATTTGGGAGCTTCATTGAAGTCAATGACAGGATACATCAATGTCGGATCCTTTACCTACCAAAATAAAATAATCATCAATTATGCTACACAAACATATTCAAAGACCAGAAATGATCTAATGAGCACCAGT